CGCCCTGATGACGGAGGCAGTATGACCTCTGAAACGTTGGTTAACATCGACCAGACTACACAGCTCAACAACCCAGAAGACGGAAATCTTACTCACCGCCCTGATGACGGAGGCAGTATGACCTCTGAAACGTTGGTTAACATCGACCAGACTACAGAGCGCAACAACCCAGAAGACGGAAATCTTCAAGGAAGTGATTGTCTGGTTTTATGGATATGTAATTGCCACTATCAGTTTCAAACATTTTTATGGTTAAAAGATGACTGTATTCTGGGTTGTATCACTGTGAATTCTGGTGGAAGTTCAACGTTTTAGAGGTCCTTGCTTCATCCAACACCAGGGTGATAACTGAGCCATGCATTTGCCACTATCACTTAAGAGTGTCTGAATGTAATTTGAACATGCCTTGAAATCTGTAAGATTACCTTTTGCTTAACATACAAATTTTTAAATTTAAATTTGTTATACTACGCATTCACAAACACGCATCACACAGAAATTGGAGAAAGGAAATATTTTTATTAAGGTAATGCTTAACACCAGACTCACAAAAATTGTCACTTTCTCTGTTTCCAGAAAATGTATCTCACAATGCTTATTACTACATCCATTGTGACCTAGACACTAAATACAGAGTAACAAGTCATCAAGCTCCTTCAAAGTGTTTTTTTTTCCTGACAACTTCACGAACTTCAAATTGTACACTTATAATTATGATATTTTCATCTTGAGCTCATCAGACAAATTCAGACAGAATAACAACTACAAACAGAACCTGCTGTCTAGTTCTCTGTAGTCGAACTTCAACAATTTCAAGATTGCTAACTTGTTCTCTCCACATTCTTTCCCATTCAATTTACTACCAAGTATTGAAACTACAATAAGATCAGGTTTTACTTTGGAGGATGTAACACCACTTTTTAATGAGTAGAATGAAATGGTAATAAAACTGTGCTCTTAGCCGTAACATACATACCTGCCCTTTCACGATGCTGGCAGCAAACTGCATGACAATAGCTTCCACTGTATATGCACTGGCCCAGCCCCGAGGCGTCAGGAGTTCCATGCAGATGGCTCCACCCTCCATGACAAAACCCTTTTCTATTCGTGGTGATATCACACGCATAAAAGGGGGAGCAAAAGGAAAATTGTCTGGGAACATGAGATGCAATAGTATATATGGGATGCCCATATCTCTCATATCACTAGCAAGTTCGCTGTCTGAGTCAATCCTATAGAGACGGACATGCCATTCAAACAAATTATCATTGACGAGCTCCACTGTAAAAACAGGGTCTTGATGATACTGCTGCTGTATCCTCTGAATCTCTCGGAGTTCCTTCATCAGTCTACGAGAACGGACCGTTCTCTGAGACCCCCCACTGTTTCCACTCAGCAACGACTGTTTCTCTGAGCTTCCTGGTCCTGTCTTTTTAGATCTAAAGAGATCAGTCACATATTTGTAACTTCCAGAACCCGAAGAGGGCCCATCCAATCCTGGACTCCTCTCTGCTGGCATGACAGCGTCTCTGTGATAGCCATGTCGACTCAGCAGTCTTCTGGCAGGGGATCCACTGTTGCTGGAACATCCTTGTCCTCCAACAGCACCTTCTGGGTCCCTAATCTTCTGGGATGACCGGAAAAGTTTGCGGAATGCAGCTGCCATCTTCTCCTTTGAGCGTGATGACATAGTACTGCCTAAATTTAGGTGCAGATAAATAGCAGTTGCAGACTGAGATTCTATCTGCAACATAAAGCCTGTGTTTTAGGATGCAGTTTGTTGGGTTTCCCTGTAATATCTGAATATGCTGTGTTTTCTATGACTTTAAAAGGTGAGAAAATTAACAGAATGTGATCACATAAACATACTTCAAAAACGATGGCTATTAAACTAGAAGTTTTTAGTTGAAGTCTCAAGGTTTCTGGTTATGATGTGATACAATAGATAAAATTGTTCTTCTGGACTTCGTTCAATGTCTTCAGGTACAAAAAACTGGAGGACTAAAGCAGAATCCAGTTTTCGCAACGTTATAATTTTATAATTTAGATAATGACTGTCTTCTGGGTTGTAGCACCGTGTAGTCTGGTAGAAGTTTTACACAGTGCTACAAACCATGACAGCCATTTTCGTACTCACCGCTGTGAGAATCTCAAATAATATTTATAATCTAGACAATGGATAACTCCAAAAGAACAATTTTACATATTAGACATTTGTATTCTTCAGACTATTTCTTTGTATTTGAAGTGGATGCAGTATGAAGCTGATAACGCTTAAGAAAGCGTGGAGCTCGACCTCCAATCTTCTATGTCTTCATCGTGTGGTGCTTACGCATAGGGACAATTTTCCTTTTCTTTATTTACATTAATTTCTGTGGTTATGAAATCCTTACCCACATTGTGCTAAGTTGTGGAATAAAATGTAATTTTTGTACAGGTTAGAGCGTGTTAGACGCTTCGCGTACATATTGCGTTGTTATGGTACGGTTTACGTTCTAGCCAATCTGTCTGAATAGATCCTCAACCCACGCCTAAGAAACCGTTCAATAACTTTGTAGTTGATGGACGGTCTTGTGATATTAAAGATTCAAGTAATCCTCCTAATGACGCCAACAGCGCACATATCTCGTTCTAAATTAAACATTTCCAAGATTATTTTTAGTCTTAGAAAATCAATATTGATTTCGTCACTGGTTGGATCAAATTGGTACCCATGCATACTGAATTCAATTTGCCTTACACATTGCTCGCCATCTTATACTGCAAAAATGGGACCTTCGACCCTTGGTACTTTCAATTCCAGTCGAATTCGTTAGCAGTACTTATCAGCAAGGGCATTGGTCATCATACCAGTTTCCGTGGTATTACTCATCCAGAGGAGAGCCCAGATAATACACTAAAATAGGCCACGACAGCCTAGTCGTAAGTCTTTGCAGCTGACAATGCAAATTCATCATCTCATTTTACTTCATACTCGTGTTTAAATGACTGACAGACCGGATTTTGTGTGCGAGGACTCTCATGTTTCTATCAGCCCCTCCAAGAAGTTCAAACAGGTTGTAATCGCATTCCGTGCCCCTCCCACTTCATCATTTGTATCAGAGCTCCAGAAACAAAACATATGTAGGCTATTAACCACTTAAAAATTCCTTTTCCATTGTCTCTCTGTATGCTTTAAACAAATGATTTGTAGTAAACTCGTAGAGCAGAGCTCATCTTGAAAACCGAACAGTCCCTCAGCTAGACAGGAAACTCCCTGCTTCTTTATGGAACTCGGAGGTTTATTGCCGTTTTCAAAATATCCCGATCCTGGGCCAGTTGAATCCAGCCCACATTCCCTCACCCGATATATTTATTATCGGTATCCATTTTAATATTATCAGTCATCACTTTCCCTCTTTCTTTATTTCTATCTCTCTCGCTCCCCTTCTAGAGAAACCAAGGTTCACATTCGTGCAAAATAAAAAAATTGCCAGTGGAACAACGGTTCCTGAGAATCTGACGTAAATACGTTTTTGTATTTAAATTATATTTAGGCAATAAATACAATGAAAGGCAGTTTATATATTAGCTTTATGCTAAATATTTCCTTTATACATGCTTTACAATTGAGTAAATATTTTGATTAAGACTTTGCTTATTTAACTTGAATTAGTTACGCTTGTGCACTTTGGAGTATCAACATTTCGTGCAAACATCATATCTATACAAGATTTTGATCTACATTGAGGATTTGACATCAACATTATATAAATAAATGTTTGTAGAACCTAAACCGTTTGTGATATGTAAAATCTGAAAACAGATATGGAAAGCTCCAGAGGTAATACGTATTTCGTACGCAATATGTCCAGATCCATCTCTTACGGTTTTCGAGAGGCGGGCGCTTAACG